CAGAAGAGGACGCGCAGAGCAGAGGGGGAAAACAAACAATCCAGCGGCCTGTCACAGGGCTAAAATGCAAACAGAACTTTGCCGGGATTAATGGCCGCCGCCTGACCCTCCCAGCCAGCCTAGAGCGGCCTGCCTGCCTGCCTGCCTGCAGGGGCCCCGACTACCTGCACGGGCCCCGACTACCAGCCGCTGCGACTTCTCTGAAAAGGAAACTCTTTATCTTATCGAGTTCCTATTCTGTAGAGCTAACCGAGCAATCAGCAACCCGGCCTGCCGGAACAATGGAGGATGGGGGAGGGGGGGACCAAACACCTAAAATACAAGGAGGACGAACGATTACAGATAATAGAACCAATTTTCAGAAAATTGACATTCTGAGTTATTGTGAAGTTTACCAGAAAGGCATTTGTGATCCGACCCGCTGGATGTTTTATATATTATAAGAATCGTATTTTAGATCCTAGACCGACCTTTATACCAAAGCGGAACCATTGCAAAACCAATTCATTGGGGATCGGTGGGAAGAACGTCCCTTACATTGGGGATCGGTGGGAAGAACGTCCCTTACATTGGGGGTCGGTGGGAAGAACGTCCCTTACATTGGGGGTCGGTGGGAAGAACGTCCCTTACATTGGGGGTCAGTGGGAAGAACGTCCCTTACATTGGGGGTCAGTGGGAAGAACGCCCCTTACATTGGGGGTCAGTGGGAAGAACGTCCCTTACATTGGGGGTCAGTGGGATGAACGTCCCTTACATTGGGGGTCAGTGGGATGAACGTCCCTTACATTGGGGGTCAGTGGGAAGAATGTCCCTTACATTGGGGGTCAGTGGGAAGAATGTCCCTTACATTGGTGGTCAGTGGGAAGAACGTTCCTTACATTGGGGGTCAGTGGGAAGAACGTCCCTTACATTGGGGGTCAGAGGGAAGAACGTCCCTTACATTGGGGGTCAGTGGGAAGAACGTCCCTTACATTGGGGGTCAGTGGGAAGAATGTCCCTTACATTGGGGGTCTGTGGGAAGAATGTCCCTTACATTGGGGGTCAGTGGGAAGAATGTCCCTTACATTGGGGGTCAGTGGGAAGAATGTCCCTTACATTGGGGGTCAGTGTGAAGAATGTCCCTTACATTGGGGGTCAGTGGGAAGAATGTCCCTTACATTGGGGGTCAGGGGGAAGAATGTCCCTTACATTGGGGGTCAGTGGGAAGAATGTCCCTTACATTGGGGGTCAGTGGGAAGAATGTCCCTTACATTGGGGGTCAGTGGGAAGAATGTCCCTTACATTGGAGGTCAGTGGGAGGAATGCCCCTTACATTGGGGGTCAGTGGGAAGAATGTCCCTTACATTGGTGATCAGTGGGAAGAATGTCCCTTACATTGGGGGTCAGTGGGAAGAATGTCCCTTACATTGGGGGTCAGTGGGAAGAATGTCCCTTACATTGGGGGTCAGGGGGAAGAATGTCCCTTACATTGGGGGTCAGTGGGAAGAATGTCCCTTACATTGGTGATCAGTGGGAAGAATGTCCCTTACATTGGGGGTCAGGGGGAAGAATGTCCCTTACATTGGGGGTCAGTGGGAAGAATGTCCCTTACATTGGGGGTCAGTGGGAAGAATGTCCCTTACATTGGAGGTCAGTGGGAGGAATGCCCCTTACATTGGGGGTCAGTGGGAAGAATGTCCCTTACATTGGTGGTCAGTGAGAAGAATGTCCCTTACATTGGTGGTCAGTGGAAGAATGTCCCTTACATTGGGGGTCAGTGGGAAGAATGTCCCTTACATTGGGGGTCAGTGGGAAGAATGCCTACCGCCTCCTCCTGAGTGTTGCTTCCCCCATCACCTTCCGCACGCTCACTGAACTATACCCAACCATCACTCTGTACCCCTTTCTTCCGGATTACCATCTATATGCCCCTCCCACTCTGGCTCCTGAAATTTGTTAGTTGCCTCACTATCTTTATTTTATTTATTTATTTATTTTTTAAATATCAACTGGTGTGCAAAGGATTATGGGAAATGAACATAAAACAGCTTTTACAAAATGAACCGGCTAATATCTGAATAGTCACATTATTAAACATTGTATCATTTTGCTGCAATTCTACATTTATTGGTTCTGATTGATAGAAAAATATTCTTCGAGGTGATGAATGAAACCAGAACCTGGAGTGATGAATGACCTCAGAAGGGTCAGGAGCTCTCGGTGTTCCGCGGAGGCGGGGTCACTGCTATAGTAACTATGGAGCACGCACTTTTATTACATGTATGTGCTAGTCCATGATGGCTCCCTGGTTGGGGATTGTTGGTTCACGAACTCAGCAGACACACTTTGTTCACGCTTGGCACATACGGTCATTTTTGAGGCTGTTCCTCTTGACATACCAAAAAAACAAAAAGTCTATAAAGCTGCCCTCCAAGCTGAATATTCCGATGAAATACATAGAAGATTAACTGACGTCTGTCCATCCAGTTCTGAGATTTACACAGCTCTGCCACACAGCACAACCCTGCCTAGCAATTGTGAGTATTGTATACTTGCTTGGAAGTTCGCTTTAAATCAAAAATATATTAGCCAAAGAAAAAGAAAAGAAAAAGAAAAGAAAAAAAAAAAAAAAGAAAAACAGCTAAGACCCTCCAACAATGGACAGGCATACAGTACGCTGCATCATCCAAATACAGTTCAATCAAATCTACTTTTGATATCATTAAATACATATTTGTACATGCTGGGTGGAATATCTAGCTCTATTATTACAGCAATTAATATTGCCTCCACCCTGCAAAGATATACAAATCTGTAAATAATAGGAAATACATATATTTGTACATCCTTGCAGGGAGGAATGTCGTAATAAAAAAATATTTGTACATTCTTACTGGATGGGATGTCTGATGATACTAATAATAATAATAAATTAGTAGTAATATCATCATTCATCCCTTCCAGCAAGAATGTACATTTTTTTTTATTACTATAGCAATAATTATTGCTTTCACCCTGCAACCATATACATAGGGATTATAATATATTCATTAATATTAAAAATATAAAATATAAATAATAAAAATATAATATATTAATTAATATAAATAATAAAAATGATATTGGAGCTAGAAAAATTGTGTTTATTAGTATTATAGCAATAATTATTGCTTTCACCCTGCAACCATATACACAGGGATTATAATATATTCATTAATATTAAAAATAAAAATAATTAATATAAATAAAAAAAATGATATTGGAGCTAGAAAAATTGTGTTTATTAGTATTATAGCAATAATTATTGCTTTCACCCTGCAACCATATACACAGGGATTATAATATATTCATTAATATTAAAAATAAAAATAATTAATATAAATAAAAAAAATGATATTGGAGCTAGAAAAATTGTGTTTTATTAGTATTATAGCAATAATTATTGCGTTCACCCTGCAAAGATCTCTCTATATATATATATATATATATATATATATATATATATATATATATAGAGAGAGAGAGAGAGAGAGAGAGAGAGAGAGAGAGAGAGAGAGAGAGAGAGAGAGAGAGAGAGAGAGAGAGAGAGAGAGAGAGAGAGAGAGAGAGAGAGAGAGAGAGAGAGAGAGAGATCTTTGCAGGGTGAACGCAATAATTATTGCTATAATACTAATAAACACAATTTTTCTAGCTCCAATATCATTTTTTTTATTTATATTAATTATTTTTATTTTTAATATTAATGAATATATTATAATCCCTGTGTATATGGTTGCAGGGTGAAAGCAATAATTATTGCTATAGTAATAAAAAAAAAAATGTACATTCTTGCTGGATGGGATGAATGATGATATTACTACTAATAACAATTTAATATCATTATTAGTAGTAGTAGTATCATCCCATCCAGCAAGAATGTACAAATATTTTTTTATTATTGTGACATTCCACCCTGCAAGGATGTAATAATAAATAAATATATAAAAAAAAAAAAAAAAATAATGTTATACACACACAAATATTGTATTTATTTTTATTATAATATCACAGCTAGATGCTCCACCCTGGAATGATGTACAAATATGTCATTGTTATTTATATATATATTTGCAAATCCTTGCAAGGTGGAATAGCTACTGATAAAAAAAAAAAAAAGTTATAAATTAAACAATATTATTATTAATAATATTAACAATAATAATAATAATAATAAAATTAAATAATTGTAACATTTTTTAGTAAAACTAGCTATTCCACCTTGCGAGGATGCACAAATATATATTTAAATAATAATAATTACATGCTTGTGCGTCATTCCAGGGTGGAGCATGTAGCTGTGATATAAAATAATAAAAAATACAATATTTGTACATGCACGGGTGAAATATCTGGCTCCAATATTATATTTTTTTTTTTTCAGGGTGAAAGCAATAATTATTTCTAGAATACTAATAAACAAAATATTTTGCACATTCTTGCTGGATGGGATGTATGATGATACTATTATTAGCAGCATAATTTGCATTGCATGAAGAGGGAAGATGCAACTGCAGCTAAGAGCTTCTTAGAGAGGCCAGGAATTAGGTAGGTATTACACCTTACCCCTGCACCCATGTCATGCGTGCACACACACACGCACACACACACGCACGGTGAAGGGGTGGGTGGTCACTGCAATGGTATCTAATCTGAGTATTTCACCTCTCAGGAAATCGCTTTATTCTATCAGTAGAGATGCCGGCGGACACTACAGGATGATACAAGAACACGGAACACGATGCCCCACATAGACCCCAGAGAAGTGTCCTGAGACCCCCGCACCGAAATCCACCCCAACATCACCAAACATACCAACCCATGTTCCTGAGTACAGAGTACAGAGCGGTGCCCTCCTCACATCATTCCAGGTATCTGTCCCCATTCTGTATGTATGGACTCTGCACAGTCCCACCTCTCCTGTCCCGGATGCCGGGTACAATTCTTGGTATCTGTCCTTATTCTGTATGTATGGACTCTGCACAGTCCCACTTCTCCTGTCCCGGATGCCGGGTACAATTCTTGGTATCTGTCCTTATTCTGTATGTATGGACTCTGCACAGTCCCACTTCTCCTGTCCCGGATGCCGGGTACAATTCTTGGTATCTGTCCTTATTCTGTATGTATGGATATTTTTTTTTATTTGTATAAGACTCTGCACAGTCCCACTTCTCCTGTCCTGGATGCCGGGTACAATTCTTGGTATCTGTCCTTATTCTGTATGTATGGACTCTGCACAGTCCCACTTCTCCTGTCCCGGATGCCGGGTACAATTCTTGGTATCTGTCCTTATTCTGTATGTATGGACTCTGCACAGTCCCACTTCTCCTGTCCTGGATGCCGGGTGGCATTCTCGGTATCTGTCCCTATTCTGTATGTATGGACTCTGCACAGTCCCACTTCTCCTGTCCCGGATGCCGGGTGTCATTCTCGGTATCTGTCCCTATTCTGTATGTATGGACTCTGCACAGTCCCACTTCTCCCTGTCCCGGATGCCGGGTGTCATTCTCGGTATCTGTCCCTATTCTGTATGTATGGACTCTGCACAGTCCCACTTCTCCTGTCCCGGATGCCGGGTGTCATTCTCAGTATCTGTCCTTATTCTGTATGTATGGACTCTGCACAGTCCCACTTCTCCTGTCCTGGATGCCGGGTGGCATTCTCGGTATCTGTCCCTATTCTGTATGTATGGACTCTGCACAGTCCCACTTCTCCTGTCCCGGATGCCTGGTGTCATTCTCAGTATCTGTCCCTATTCTGTATGTATGGACTCTGCACAGTCCCACTTCTCCTGTCCTGGATGCCGGGTGGCATTCTCGGTATCTCCTGTACGGAAGTCGCTCAGTAGTACCACTTCTCACATGGCCAGTAAGAGTGACGCACACAGAGCTCAGATCTGAAGTATTTTCTGGCTGCAGAGATGATGCCAAACATTTATCACAGTTACAGGAAACATTTTCACATTCAGTCCGGCGCAGATCAGAGAGGAGGGTGGTGACTGTTCTCATACTCGTCCTCACATGTGCCCACACAGCTGGGCCGGCATTGCACCCGCAGGGTGATAAGAGAGCCCCATATCCCCATATCCTGTCACAGAGCTGCAGGGGATATTTTTAGCTTTCAAACTTCTGCTGGAAACAAAACTGATAAAAGTTCCCTCAACTGGACACAATGTAGACTCTCCAGAGGCGTCCAGCATGGCTGGAGAGGGGGGCAGGGAATTCCTTCTAGGGGGGTCCTGCGTGAATGCAACCATCCTGACTCCACCTGTACCAACACAGTCCAATAAAACAGGGGGGGCTATCCCTCCCACCGACGACGGGGGGGGGGGGGGGCTATGCCTCCCACAGATGGGGCGCTATGCCTCCCACCGACACCAACGACGGGGCGCTATTCCTCCGACCGACACCAACGACGGGGCGCTATTCCTCCGACCGACACCAACGACGGGGCGCTATTCCTCCGACCGACACCAAACGACGGGGCGCTATTCCTCCGACCGACACCAACGACGGGGCGCTATTCCTCCCACTGACACCAACGACGGGGCGCTATTCCCCCCACTGACACCAACGACGGGGCGCTATTCCCCTCACTGACACCAATGACGGGGCGCTATTCCTCCCACTGACACCAATGACAGGGCGCTATTCCTCTCACTGACACCAATGACGGGGCGCTATTCCTCCCACTGACACCAATGACGGGGCGCTATTCCTCCCACTGACACCAATGACGGGGCGCTATTCCTCCCACTGACACCAATGACGGGGCGCTATTCCTCCCACTGACACCAATGACGGGGCGCTATTCCTCCCACTGACACCAATGACGGGGTGCTATTCCTCCCACTGACACCAATGACGGGGCGCTATTCCTCCCACTGACACCAATGACGGGGGGCGCTATTCCCCCCACTGACACCAATGACGGGGCGCTATTCCCCCCACACCGACACCAATGACGGGGCGCTATTCCTCCCACTGACACCAATGATGGGGCACTATTCCTCCCACTGACACCAATGATGGGGCACTATTCCTCCCAGTGACACCAATGATGGGGCACTATTCCCCCCACTGACACCAATGATGGGGCACTATTCCCCCCACTGACACCAATGATGGGGCACTATTCCCCCCACTGACACCAATGATGGGGCACTACTCCTGACCACCAACCCTGAGGCCATGTTTATTATCACTGATGCTTGGCCCAGGATATTTTCTACCCTATTGGCCACAATCCGGCCCCCCTAAAGTCTGAAGGACACTAAACTGGCCCTTTGTTTGAAAAGTTTGGAGACCCCCTGCTATAGAGGAATCAGAGGGGGTGCAGGGGGTTCCCCCCATCCTGGCCTCGCACCTGCTGCATCTGGGCTAGTCTGACACCTTCCCACTACATGTACATGGGTGGGCTCCCCTGGTCTGAAACTCAGAGAAAGCACCCCATTCAACTGTGGGGGTTCACCCCCCACCATGGGGGTGAACCCCTCCTAAGAACAGATGAGAAGACAAGCTCCATCTTGACTCCACCTGCACAGCACAACTGGGGGGGGGGGGGGGGTATACTTGCTTTGGCAGCCTAAAGGTGCATGACTTGCCCTCAATTTCATCAATGGGGGGGGGGCAGATAAGCACAATAGCACAGTGTAGTCACCCTGGACCCCAAAACTGGACATTATCGTTAATATCACAGCTTCTGTCATTTGTATGGAGCCCCCCCCAACAGGGGTCCGATTAGAAAACATCACAGCGCCCCCCAGTGTCCCCAGACCAGCTTCTATACTTTGTATGGATCCTATAGAAGAATAAGGAGGGGGTGCAGGGGTCCCCCCCCCATTGTGGGCTCCCACCTGCTGCAGCTAGGCCCGCCTGACACCTACCGACCCTCTCCCTACACATGGATGGGTTCCTCTGAATCATGGCGATAGAACCCCACTCTGCTGCACCCCTGACATGAGGGCCCCCCGAGAACAGATGAGGATGACAAGCTCCATCCTGACTCCTGGGGGACACTTAGGTTTGCCAGCCTACAGGGGACCCCAAAGAGCCCAATAGGAGTCAGGTCAGTAAATATCACATTTTGGGGTCACCCTGGACCAGGCTGGTGTCCCCAGAGCTGAACGTTGTCATCGCTATCGCAGCTTTTGTACTTGTTAGGGATTCTATAGAAGAGGATGAGGGTTCAGGGGTCCCCCCCCCATTCTGGGATTCCACCGCTGACACCTGCACACCTAACCACTTCCTACACATGGGTGGGCTCCTCTGGTCTGAAACTTAGCACCCCCACTCTGCTGCACCCCCTCCTGAGAACAGATGAGCTCCAGCCTGACTCCACCTGCCATGCTAAAGGGGTAGTCCTGACCCCAAAGATTCCAATGGGAGTGAGGTCAGTAAATATCACATTGTGGGGGCACCCTGGACCAGGCTGGTGTCCCCAGAGCTGAACGTTGTCATCGCAGCTTTTGTACTTGTTAGGGATTCTATACAAGAGAATGAGGGGTTCAGGGGTTCCCCCCATTCTAGGATTCCACCGCTGTCACCTGCACACCTATCCACTTCCTACACACGGGTGGGCTCCCCTGGGGTGCTATGTCCAAGTTTCAGACCAGAGGAGCCCACCCGTGTGTAGGAAGTGGGTAGGTGTGCAGGTGTCAGCGGTGGGATCCAGGAATGGGGGGAACCTCGGTACCCCTCATCTTCTTCTACAGAATCCCTAACAAGTACAAAAGCTGCGATGATAAAGTTCAGCTCTGGGGACACCAACCTGGTCCAGGGTGACCCCACAATGTGATATTTACTGACCTCACTCCCATTGGAATCTTAGGGGTCCGGACATTCCCCTTTAGCATGGCAGGTGGAGTCAGGATGGAGCTCATCTGTTCTCAGGAGGGGGTGCAGCAGAATGGTCTGAAACTTGGACATAGCACCCCACACTGCGGCACCCCCTCCTGAGAACAGAGGAGTTCCATGCTGACTCCACCTGCCATGCTAAAGGGGAATGTCCTGACCCCTAAGATTCCAATGGGAGTGAGGTCAGTAAATATCACATTGTGGGGTCACCCTGGACCAGGCTGGTGTCCCCAGAGCTGAACTTTATCATCGCAGCTTTTGTACTTGTTAGGGATTCTATAGAAGATGAGGGGTTCAGGGGTTCCCCCCATTCTGGGATCCCACCGCTGACACCTGCACACCTACCCACTTCCTACACATGGGTGGGCTCCTCTGGTCTAAAACTTGGACATAGCACCCCACTCTGCTCTACATCCCCCCTCCCCTTGACATGGGGAACCCCTCCTGGAAACAGATGAAAAGAAAGACAAGCTCCACCCCGACTCCACCCACACAACACAATCCAATGCAGTACAATTTGCTGGGGGGAGGGGCGGCATACAACTGCTTTGCCAGCCTGAAGGGGCACAACCTGACTCCCCAAATACCCCAATGGGTCCAAATCAGTAAATATCACCCCAGATCAGGCTGGTGTCCCTGGAGCTGGACATTATTATTGCCATCACAGCTTCTGTACTTTATATATAGAATCTATAGAGGGGTGACGGAGTTCCCCCCATTCTGAGATCACCTGACACCTGCCCACCTACCCTCTTCCCTACACATAGGTGGACTCCCTGCTCTAAGCCCCTGACATGGGGTGGGGGTAGAAGAGTCAGGAGGGGTGGGGGGTTACCCCTCATTTTGGGCTCTCACCTGCAGAACCTGGACCAGCCAGACACCTGCCCACCTACCCTCTCCTTACACATGGGTGGGCTACCCTTGTCTGAAACTTGGAGACAGCACCCCACACTGCTGCACCCCCCTCCTGAGAACAGATGAGCTCCATCCTGACTCCACCTGCCATGATAAAGGGGTATGTCCTGACCCCAAATACCCCACCCCCCCTCCTCAGAGCACAATGCAATACAACATGGTGTCATTAAAGCTTCTGTACTTTGTAAGGAGCCTATAGAAGAGCCGGGGGGGGGGGGGGGGTGGTTACCCCTCATTCTGAGATCCCACCTGCAGAACCTGGACCAGCCAGACACCTGCCCACCTACCCTCTTCCCTACACATAGGTGGGCTCCCTGCTCTAAGCCCCTGATATGGGTTGGGGGTAGAAGAGTCAGGAGGGGTGGGGGGTTACCCCTCATTCTGGGCTCCCACCTGCCTTAGACCAACCTGACACCTACCCACCTACCCTCTCCCTACACATGGGTGGGCTACCCTTGTCTGAAACTTGGAGACAGCACCCCCTCCTGAGAACAGATGAGCTCCATCCTGACTCCACCTGCCATGATAAAGGGGTATATCCTGACCCCAAATACCCCACCCCCCCCCCCTCCTCAGAGCACAATGCAATACAACATGGTGTCATTAAAGCTTCTGTACTTTGTAAGGAGCCTATAGAAGAGCCGGGGGGGGGGGGGGGGGGGGGGGGGGGGGTTACCCCTCATTCTGAGATCCCACCTGCAGAATCTGGACCAGCCTGACACCTGCCCACCTACCTTGTCCCTACACATAGGTGGGCTCCCTGCTCTAAGCCCCTGACATGGGGTGGGGGGTAGAAGAGTCAGGAGGGGTGCGGGGTTACCCCTCATTCTGGGCTCCCACCTGCTTTAGACCATCCTGACACCTGCCCACCTACCTTGTCCCTGCACATAGGTGGGTTCCCTGCTCTAAGCCCCTGACGTGGGGGGGCTCCTGAGATGAGAAGACAGACAAGCTCCCTCCTGCCCCCACCTGCACAGCACAATGCATTGCAATACAACAATCATCACAGCTTCTGCACTTTGGAAGGATAATAGAGAAGAGTAAGGAGGGGTGCGGGGGGGGGACCCCCATGCTGGGCTCCCACCTGCTGCACCTGGGGGCCACCCTGACACCTGCCCCCTTCCTGCACATGGGTGGGCTCCCTGTTCCGAAACTTGCAGACACCCCCCCCCCCCCCCCTCCTCCAGCCATGGGGGGGCCCCTCCTGGATCTAGGAAGGTGTGCGTCCGGAATACTAGACAGGACCTGCACCCCCTGCCTGCGTACACAGGGGCCCCCGGGGGCCACAGGCACTTACCTTGGTGAAGTAGAGCAGCCACAGTTCGTAGAGCCTCTCCTTAGAAGCCATCCTGCCGGTGCCCGCCTCTAGGTCGCTGTCATGTCCCGGGGTGGCCCTGCTCTGCCAGGAAGGCTCAGGCTCCATGCTGCCCCATGGCAGGTGCTGGGAGGTGCGGGGATCGCGGAGAGGTGAGGAGCGAACCCAGCAAGGTGCTGCCAGCACTCCGCCTCCGTGTCTGGGCTTTGTCTGCAGCCACAGCGCCCCCCCCCCCCCGATCCCCGAGGATGGTGCCGGGACTGCAGCTCAAGATCCTCACTGGGCGATACCAGCGCTGAGCTCAGCACCAGTGACCCAGGAGACCCCGGGGCATGACCTGCCTGTCCTGTCATCGTCATCCTCATCATCATCATCGTCATCATCATCATTACCTGTCTGATACAATATTATATTCCTGGGCTATTATAACCTGCCTGTGTTATATTATTATACACACCTGCCCCATTATTATTACCTGCTTGTTACATTCTTATATTCCTGTATTATTATTATTATTATTACTTCCTGTCTGATACATTATATTCCTGGACTATTGTAACCTGCCAGTGTTACATTAATATATTCCTGTGTCATTATTATCATTATTTTTTTTTTATTATTATTATTATTATTATCATTACATTCCTGGGCTATTAAAACCTGCTTGTGTTACATTAATATATTCTTGTATCACTGTTATCACATTCCTTCTGTACTAAAATGTATTGTAATTGTACTGTCTCCCTTATATTGTACAGCGCTGCGCAAACTGTTGGCGCTATATAAATCCAGTATAATAATTATCATTATTTATTATTATTATTATTATATTATTATTTATTATCATTACATTCCTGGGTTATTATAACCTGCCTGTGTTACATTCATTTATTCCTGTATCACTATTATCATTATTTTTTTTTTCATTATTATTATTATCATTATATTCCTGGGCTATTATAATCTGCTTGTGTTACATTATTATACACCTGCCCCATTATTATTACCTGCTTGTTACATTTTTATATTCCTGTATAATTATTATTATTATTACCTGTCTGATACGTTATATTCCTGGACCAGGGGCGGACTGACCATTTGGAAACTCGGGCACTGCCTGAGGGCCCGGGGTCAGTAGGGGGCCCCATGAGATGCCCCTGGTACCTTTTTCATAGGCTTTTTTGAGTTTGGGCAAGGACACAGGGGCCCCATGATCCCCTATTGCCCAGGGGCCCCATGAGTTGTCAGTCCACCCCTGTCCTGGACTATTATAACCCGCCTGTGTTACATTATTATATTCCTGTATTTTATTATTATTATTATTATTGCCTGTCTGATACATTATTATATTCCTGTATTTTATTATTATTATTATTATTATTATTATTATTATTGACTGTCTGATACATTATTATATTCCTGTATTTAATTATTATTATTGCCTGTCTGATACATGATTATATTCCTGTATTTTATTATTATTATTATTATTATTATTATTGACTGTCTGATACATTATTATATTCCTGTATTTAATTATTATTATTGACTGTCTGATACATTATTATATTCCTGTATTTTATTATTATTATTATTGACTGTCTGATACATTATTATATTCCTGTATTTTATTTTTATTATTATTATATTATTATTATTATTGACTGTCTGATACATTATTATATTCCTGTATTTAATTATTATTATTGACTGTCTGATACATTATTATATTCCTGTATTTTATTATTATTATTATTGACTGTCTGATACATTATTATATTCCTGTATTTTATTATTATTATTATTATTATTATATTATTATTGACTGTCTGATACATTATTATATTCCTGTATTTAATTATTATTATTGACTGATACATTATTATATTCCTGTATTTTATTATTATTATTATTATTATTATTATTATTGACTGTCTGATACATTATTATATTCCTGTATTTTATTATTATTATTATTGACTGTCTGATACATTATTATATTCCTGTATTTTATTATTATTATTATTATTATTATTATATTGCCTGTGTGATACATTATTATATTCCTGTACTGTGTTAACCTTCCTGCTTTATTATCTTCTTCCTTCCTTATTATTATAACCTGTCTGATACAATATTATATTCCTGGACTATTATTATAGCCTGCAGCATATTTTATATTCATGTACTGTTATGACCTACTTGTGTTATATCATTTTATCCCCATCCTATCATGACCTATTATATTATTATATTCCTATGCTATTATTATAACCTGCTGTTTATATTATTATATTCCTGGCCTATCATACCTCGCCTGTCACATTACTATCTCCCTGTACTGCTGTAACCCGCCTGTCACATTACTATCTCCCTGTACTGCTGTAACCCGCCTGTCACATTACTATCTCCCTGTACTGCTGTAACCCGCCTGTCACACGAATATCTCCCTGTAGTGCTGTAACCCGCCTGTCACACGAATATCTCCCTGTACTGCTGTAACCCGCCTGTCACATTACTATCTCCCTGTACTGCTGTAACCCGCCGTCACATTACTATCTCCCTGTACTGCTGTAACCCCGCCTGTCACATTATCTTCCTTCCCTATTTGTATAACCTGTTACATTATTATCTTCCTGACCCATCATTACTTCCTGTTACATTGTATCTCTTCCTCCCCTATTGTTATAACTTTACATTATTATATTCCTCTATTATTATAACCTGCCTGTTACATTAATATCTTGAAACTACTCTGTAAAATATTTACTACACAGAGCTACCACTGAAGTTCATATATAGCCAAAAAAAAAAAAGATCCTTTTGGTAAAGAAAATGCAAAAATACATCCTGAAATATAAATCTATAATATTATTATACAGGATTTATATAGCACCTCTTCCGGGTTCAGCCGGTGCACCTCCTGATGACAGTGCACTAGGCACGCCCTCTCCTCCTTTCTGAAATGAAGGACTATGCCTCCTGGGATATGTGACATGAATATCCCAGGGGATCCAGCGTTGTTCCTCTGAGATCCTCTTGTCTTGGGGCCGCGGCACCATGTTGCTTGTGACGTCATCGAGAGGCCCACTGGCTCTTCCGGGTTCAGCCGGTGCACCTCCTGATGACAGTGCACTAGGCACGCCCTCTCCTCCTTTCTGAAATGAAGGACTATGCCTCCTGGGATATGTGACATGAATATCCCAGGGGATCCAGCGTTGTTCCTCTGAGATCCTCTTGTCTTGGTGCCGCCGCGGCACCATGTTGCTTGTGACGTCATCGAGAGGCCCACTGGCTCTTCCGGGTTCAGCCGGTGCACCTCCTGATGACACTGCGCTAGGCACGCCCTCACCTCCTTTCTGAAATGAAGGACTATGCCTCCTGGGATATGTGACATGAATATCCCAGGGGATCCAGCGTTGTTCCTCTGAGATCCTCTTGTCTTGGTGCCGCGGCACCATGTTGCTTGTGACGTCATCGAGAGGCCCACTGGCTCTTCCGGGTTCAGCCGGTGCACCTCCTGATGACACTGCGCTAGGCACGCCCTCTCCTCCTTTCTGAAATGAAGGACTATGCCTCCTGGGATATGTGACATGAATATCCCAGGGGATGCAGCAGTGCCGGGACAAGATCAGCTAGAGCCCGGGGCGAACATGCTGAATTGCGCCCCCCCCCAAGATGCATGAGCATTATGTGTCAGCAAAAATCCCCTCCCCCCACAGAAAATTTGAGAACTAATCTGCATGCTTACCCCCTAAGCATACATTCCCCCTCTTCCTAGTACAAATCTGCCCCCTGCTGAAATCCCACAAATTTTTGCCCCCCCTTTAGCTCAAATCCTCTAATTTCCCATATGCATGAGCACAAATCCACCCCCCCCCTGAAAAAAAGTCCCCTCTACTAGTAAAAATCCTCCACCCCTCAAATTTCACCTCTGAGCAAAAATCCTCTCCCCCCCCCCCACTCTGAATCCCCCCCCCCCAAATGCTCCCCAATCCCCCATCCTAACACAAATCTCCCCAAATTTCCCCTCCTAGCACAAACACCCCCAATCATCCCTGCTAGCACAAGTCCAGCCCCCCTCAAAAAATTCTTCTGATAGCACAAATCCCCCCCCCCCCTACCACCACCAAATTACCTTTTCTAGCACTCTAGACAAGTGGAATTTTTGGAATATTTTTCTTTGAAGTCACATAATTGCTGTTTTTTTATATATCACTGTTCTAGGTCTATGTATTTTGTAGGTATTGTGCATTTTTGTATATGTGGTGCAGAATTGTTTTTCATTGATATTATACCTTTTCTAGCACCCCCCCCCCAAAAAATCCTCCTTCTAGCACAAATATTTGTACCCCATTCCCTCTCCCAATCACTACTCCTAGCACACCTCCCCAAATTTCCCCTCCTAGAACAATTCTCATCCCCTGCCGCCCCCAAATTTCCCTTCTTTACACAAATCCCACCCCCAACTTCTATTTGGTACCCCCTCCCCCACCTCACATGATACCACAGTGCCCTGGGTAGCCGCCCCTCCTGCCCCCCCCCCCCTTGTCCCAGCCCTGCGATTCAGCAACCACTGTGCACATCATTTGCCTAGGCAAGTGATGTGAATGGGGGGGGGGGGGGCACAGCCACATGTTTTTTTTAATAAAAAAAAATCACAAAGAATCACTTTCATCTTCTACCTCCTGAAGAACCCCCTGTGGGAACGTCATCTCATTTATGATATCAACCCATGTACCTGGATGGCTGCGGCAGGGGCGGACTGACAACTCATGGGGCCCCCCGGGCAATAGGGGATCATGGGGCCCCTGTGTCCTTGCCCAAACTCCAAAAAGCCTATGAAAAAGGTACCAGGGGCATCTCATGGGGCCCCCTACTAACCCCGGGCCCTCGGGCAGCGCCCGAGTTTCCAAATGGTCAGTCCGCCCCTGGGCTGCGGCACCTACTGCAGCTGGCAGCGGCGCAGGGCCAGGAGGTGAAGAGAGCTGCTTGCCCTACATGAGGATACCCCTCCCCCTTTCCATGAGACTCATCCCCTCCACTTTCCCCTCATGATATTGTTACCTGCCCTGTAGGCAGGGCCGGATCTAGCCTGTCTGATGTGTGTGTGTGTGTGTGTGTGTGTGGGGGGGGGGGGGGCAGTAAAAAAATGTCAGGGGGAGCAGAGGATGGGAGGTCAACAGGAAAGTGCACAGGGGGTCAGCAGCTAGTAAGGCAGTGCACAGGGGTCATTAGTTTGTAGGGCTGTGTACAGGGGTCATTAGTTTGTAGGCCTGTGTACAGGGGTCATTAGTTTGTAGGCCTGTGTACAGGGGTCATTAGTTTGTAGGGCTGTGTACAGGGGTCATTAGTTTGTAGGGCTGTGTACAGGTGTCTAAAGGTTCGAAGGACAGGTTTCAGCAGAGCAAGCAGTGTACAGGAAACAGCAGAGCTGAGGACGGGTCAGCAGGGTGGAGAAAAGGGGTTAGCAGGGAGGTGGACAAGAACAACTGCTGGCAGGGCAGAGGACAGGGGTCACTGCTGGCAGAGGAGAGGACAGGGGTCACCGCTGGCAGAGGACAGGAGTCACTGCTGGCAGGGCAGAGGACAGGGGTCACCGCTGGCAGAGGACAGGAGTCACTGCTGGCAGGGCAGAGGACAGGGGTCACTGCTGGCAGAGGACAGGGGTCACTGCTGGCAGAGGAGAGGACGGGGTCACTGCTGGCAGGGCAGAGGACGGGGTCACTGCTGGCAGGGCAGAGGACAGGGGTCACTGCTGGCAGGGCAGAGGACAGTGGTCACTGCTGGCAGAGGATAGGGGTCACTGCTGGCAGGGCAGAGGACAGGGGTCACTGCTGGCAGAGGATAGGGGTCACTGCTGGCAGGGCAGAGGACAGGGGTCACTGCTGGCAGGGCAGAGGACAGGGGTCACTGCTGGCAGGGCAGAGGACAGTGGTCACTGCTGGCAGAGGATAGGGGTCACTGCTGGCAGGGCAGAGGACAGGGGTCACTGCTGGCAGGGCAGAGGACAGGGGTCACTGCTGGCAGGGCAGAGGACAGGGGTCACTGCTGGCAGAGGATAGGGGTCACTGCTGGCAGGGCAAAGGACACGGGTCACTGCTGGCAGAGGACAGGGGTCACTGCTGGCAGGGCAGAGGACAGGGGTCACTGCTTTTAAAAACATTTCCATCCAGACAGTATAGTATATATAGGTTAGGGTAGTATAGTGGTAGGTAGGGCAGGCTAGGGTAGTATAGTGGTGGGTAGGGCAGTATAGTGGTAGGTAGGGTAGTATGGTGGTAGGTAGGGCAGTATAGGGTAGTATAGTGGTAGGTAGGGTAGTATGGTGGTAGGTAGGGCAGTATAGGGTAGTATAGTGGTAGGTAGGGTAGTATAGTGGTAGGTAGGGCAGTATAGTGGTGGGTAGGGCAGGATAGGGCAGTATAGTGGTGGGTAGGGCAGGCTAGGGTAGTATGGTGGTAGGTAGGGCAGTATAGTGGTGGGTAGGGCAGTATAGTGGTGGGTAGGGCAGGCTAGGGTAGTAGTGACGGAGTAGTGACAAAGTCTGTGGGAGGAGTGAAGGAGTCTGTGGGAGGAGTGGAGGAGTCTTTTGGAGGAGTGAAGGAGTCTGTGGGAGGAGTGGAGGAGTCTGTGGGAGGAGTGGAGGAGTCTGTGGGAGGAGTGAAGGAGTCTGTGGAGGAGTCTGTGGGAGGAGTGGAGGAGTCTGTGGGAGGAGTGAAGGAGTCTGTGGGAGGAGTGGAGGAGGCAGCCTCAGCCGCCCACCAGCTTCCTCCTGGGAAGATATTGCCGTCCCCCGAGGGACAACCTCACCTAATTAGATGGCAGAGGAGTGTTCCAGACAGCTCCGCCCCACCCCACCCCGCCCCGCCCCACCGGGTCCCTGACCCAATTAGCACCTTACCCTGGAAGTACCTTTAGCAGTTTAAGCTGCAAGGACAGGGACAGTTCTGCTGTTTTCATGGTTCAGCTGCCAGGCACAGGGGGGCGGTGGTTGGCTTTGAGGGACTGCAGCAGAAATCTGGGGGGTGCGTAGCCCACCCCAGCACCCCCTAGATCTGGCCATGCCTGTTGGGGGGCTTTGGTGAAATATCAGTGGTCTAAACAGACCCCCAATGTCCCACTTTTGAGGCAGAGAACGGGAATTGAGGACACGGATTCCTCAGTCCTGGACAGGGAATGAATGGCAAGTGCTGTGTGCTGAGCGGCTTCCTGTTCATTCACACAGTTTCCTAGGCATCAGTTATGAATGAACATAGAGAGTCGTGATCACTCGCTGTGTCCATTCAGAAAAGGAAGGGGCCGGTAAATTACATATTTACCAACCCTTCCCCTCCCCGCACTCCATCTTGCAGCGATCCTCATGTGCCTGCAGCAGCTTCCGGTGGGAGAGGAGTGGAGGGAATCCGGCAGCACTTCAGGGAGGGGCGCACATGGGGTGGGGGGGGAGATGGGGGTCCCAGACAGTGGGCGGAAGGGACAGATATAAAAACTGATCCCCTGCAGTGCCTCCAGTGGAAGAAAGCCGGTAGTGCTGCAGGGGCCTCCACAAGAGTCACAAGTCAGTGGTCAGCCCTCCTGCTCAGCAGGTCCCCCTTTTGAACTGATGGGCTGTACATCCTCCCCAGTGGCCCTGTCTGCAGGGACTACTGGGACCACATACTGTATACAACTTGTAGGGTGTCCTTAGGTTTGCAGGTGGATTTAACCAGTAATTGGTGGAACGCGAAGGTCCACACAGGGACCACCGAGACCACATGGCTTGGATGTCACCCATATGGCTAGCAGCCCAGAAAGTAGATGACCGTAAAAGATGGAAAAGTCCCCTCACCCTCCTGGAACTTCACGGTGAAAGAGCTTCATTCCAGATGTACCGGCAAAGCTCCACCCATCATGGATCCAGTTCATGGATGGGACCGCTAAGCTCGGAAGATCTTCCCAGTTCCTAGGGTTTCTGGTGGTTCTACATGTCCTCTCCTGAGGATGCTTCTGTCTCCCCAAATTTGCTACGAAGCCAGCAATGATCCCCCCCTCCTTCCCCTTTATGTGCCCCCTAGTTCCAGTGAAGGGAACTCTTAAGGCGACATTTTGGACTTTGTGGGAGGAGTTTGGGGATGGCCCCTTCCTGTTCCAACATGACTGCCCACCAGTACACAAAGCAAGGTCCATAAAGACATGGAGGAGCCAGTTTGGGGTGGAGGAACTTGACTGTCCTGCACAGAGTCCTGACCTCAACCCCATAGAACACCTTTGGGATGAATTAGAGCGGAGACTGCGAGCCAGGCCCCCTCCCCCGACATCAGTGCCTGACCTGACAAATGTGCTTCTGGAAGAATGGTCCAACCTTCCCATAGACACCCTCCTAAACCTTGTGGACGGCCTTCCCAGAAGAGTTGAAGCTGTTATAACTGCAAAGGGCGGGGCCAACTCAATATTGAACCCTACGGACTAAGACTGGGGGGCCATTAAAGGTCATGTGCGTGGAAAGGGCGGGGCCAACTCAATATTGAACCCTACGGACTAAGACTGGGAGGCCATTAAAGGTCATGTGCGTGGAAAGGGCGGGGCCAACTCAATATTGAACCCTACGGACTAAGACTGGGGGGTCATTAGAGGTCATGTGTGTGGATATATATATAGATGTATTCGGATGTCTTTTTTGCATTTGTGTTACCAAAAGGATCATTTGTGGGGTTGCGTGTTCCGTGACAGGCGTGTCCTCGTGTTTTGTGTCTTTGAGATTTTTCTACACACAATGAAACGTGTCTCTGGCGAGAGTTGCGTCGGTCCTCCTTTGTCTCGGAACATGTATGTATTTGTCACGCATCTCTTCACACATTGTATAGTCGGGGTGCAGCGCGGGGGGGGGGGGGGGGGAAGGTTCCCCCTTTCTGTAATGAAATGTTTGTTCAGCGGTTGGTTCCTGAGTCTATTTTTACTTTGTTGTTTCTTTGTTGCTATATCTGAAGTTCCGTGGCGGTTCCGTGTAGAAGAGGTTGTACAGGAATGGTTTCTAGAAGATTCTCTGCTCGGGGTTCCGGCTGTCATTTCATTTGTTCCCATCGAACCTCCCGGGGTGCCGACTTTACATTCTTAATACTGGCGGCTGTACATTGTTATCCCCCCTGCCTGTGATACATTGTTATCCCCGCCTGTGATACATCATTATCCCCTGCTTGTGATACATTGTTATCTCCTGCTTGTGATACATTGTTATCTCCTGCTTGTGATACATTGTTATCCCCCGCCTGTGATACATCATTATCCCCTGCCTGTGATACATTGTTATCTCCTGCTTTTGATACATTGTTATCCCCCTGCTTGTCATACATTGTTATCCCCTGCCTGTGATACATTGTTATCTCCTGCTTGTCATACATTGTTATCTCCTGCTTGTCATACATTGTTATCTCCTGCCTGTGATACATTGTTATCCCCGCCTGTGATACATCATTATCCCCTGCTTGTGATACATTGTTATCCCCGCCTGTGATACATTGTTATCTCCTGCTTGTGATACATTGTTATCCCCCTGCTTGTCATACATTGTTATCCCCCTGCCTGTGATACATTGTTATCCCCTGCTTGTCATACATTGTTATCCCCTGCTTGTCATACATTGTTATCCCCTGCTTGTCATACATTGTTATCTCCTGCTTGTCATACATTGTTATCTCCTGCTTGTCATACATTGTTATCTCCTGCCTGTGATACATTGTTATCCCCCTGCCTGTGATACATTGTTATCCCCCTGCTTGTCATACATTGTTATCCCCCTGCTTGTCATACATTGTTATCCCCTGCCTGTGATACATTGTTATCCCCCTGCTTGTCATACATTGTTATCCCCAGCCTGTGATACATTGTTATCCCCTGCTTGTCATACTTTGTTAGCTCCTGCCTGTGATACATTGTTATCCCCCTGCCTGTGATACATTGTTATCCCCCTGCTTGTGATACATTGTTATCCCCTGCTTGTGATACATTGTTTTCCCCTGCCTGTGATACATTGTTATCCCCCTGCCTGTGATACATTGTTATCCCCCTGCTTGTGATACATTGTTATCCCCCTGCTTGTCATACTTTGTTATCTCCTGCCTGTGATACATTGTTATCCCCCTGCTTGTGATACATTGTTATCCCCCTGCTTGTCATACTTTGTTATCTCCTGCCTGTGATACATTGTTATCCCCCTGCCTGTGATACATTGTTATCCCCCTGCTTGTGATACATTGTTATCCCCTGCCTGTGATACATTGTTATCCCCTGCCTGTGATACATTGTTATCCCCCTGCCTGTCATACATTGTTATCCCCCTGCTTGTCATACTTTGTTATCTCCTGCCTGTGATACATTGTTATCTCCCTGCCTGTGATACATTGTTATCTCCCTGCCTGTGATACATTGTTATCTCCTGCTTGTCATACATTGTTATCCCCTGCCTGTGATACATTGTTATCCCCCTGCCTGTGATACATTGTTATCCCCCTGCCTGTGATACATTGTTATCTCCCTGCCTGTGATACATTGTTATCTCCCTGCCTGTGATACATTGTTATCTCCTGCTTGTCATACATTGTTATCCCCTGCCTGTGATACATTGTTATCCCCCTGCCTGTGATACATTGTTATCCCCCTGCCTGTGATACATTGTTATCCCCCTGCCTGTGATACATTGTTATCCCCCCTGCTTGTGATACATTGTTATCCCCTGCTTGTCATACATTGTTATCTCCTGCCTGTGATACATTGTTTATCTCCTGCCTGT